AAATGTATGTATATATCGTTCCAAAATTCTCAGCACATTTCTTAAAGGATTAGTTTCAATGAATTTGATTTGCTTAGATCCGCAACGCTCATAGCCCTAGTTAAAGATATATAAATATATATTTATACATGTAAATATGTACAAATATATATATTTATATAGTGTCACATATTGAACCGAATTCATATCAAAACAAACAACAAGAAAAAAGAAAATTAACATTAACATTTGCAATAAAAAACATCTATATATATGTATATATATATTATACATATGTATTTACTTGGGTACAAATTGGTACAGTAAAGACATTCGTTTATACAATATTTACTGTCTAAATATTATATAATCATTATACTTATAGAAAATGAAATACTCTCATACGTATAACTTATCAAAAGTCAAAATTTATTAACTTAAAAAAAAAACATGAAAATGAACATGAACTTTTAAAACTGAAAACATATAAGACAAAGCGACAGGAAAAGAGGAGAATATTGAATAGACACAAAAATTGACCACGGTTCAAGGTGGATGTGAACAATGTTAAGAGCAAAACATATAGTCTATATATAAATAAAAAATTAACAAAAAACTTGTTGACAACGGTATAAATAGCAGAACAAATTGTTTTCAGTTCCGAAGGCTCCAAATTCATATACACATATATGTATGTATGGAGCAGATCGTAACTATTAATAATAGTGATTATTTCCATTCGGTTAATAACTCTTAAGGGTTTTTGTTAAATTTCATTATATTTATATATTCATATGTTAATAAAAATAATTTCCAAACTACAAAATAACAGCCAAGTGGAGGGAGCAGGACGCAGCTAGCTGGCAGGAGGCGAGTGTGATAATGTATGTATACGAGGGTAGTCCAGTCAATTATTAAATTTAAACTTATATTTTATTTTTATTTATTTTTTTTTTTTTTTTATTTAACATTTAAATTAATTTTTGTATTATTCTAGTTTTCCTTTTAAGTTTTAACACATTTTTTAGGCTACCCTCGCTATGCACATTACTTCTGCAGCAGTTCAAGCAGCTGTTCCAGCTTCTGTTCAATATGCTGCAGACGCCTCTCGGTGTTTTGTTCCCTCTGACGCTTCTGTTCGCCGCTGGAGCGCTGCTCGATGATCGCCAGGGCCTGCTTGACGGTGCGACTATCGATGCGGGAGCATTTGCCCTTGAGCATTGAGCAGCAGCAGGGCAGAAGGTTCAGGGGCGGATCGAGCAGTTTCTGTTGGCAGTCTTGATTGGTGGGCACCGCCTGGAAGGTGGCATTGTTGCGCTGCCTCATCTCGGTGGGATCGACAAGTGGTATGAGCACCTTGTTGCCATCGTTGGGCAGCACCGAGATCTGGCGCAGTGCCAGATAGTTGGGATAGACGCGAATCAAGCGCTCATACGCCCAGCGTAGGGGCTTGGTGCTCATCAGGTAGCCGGTGCGTCCCTTGCGATCCATCAACACCTGCTCGTAGCGCAGCAGCGTATTGGTGCGGCAAATGGCGCCGTTCAGCTCCGCCTGGGCTTTGATGGCCTAGCGACCAGCAATGGGAATAATAATTAGTGTAAAGCGAGTAAAGAAAGAGTTTAGTCTAAGCTGGGCTTACCTGAGTATCGGAGACGGCCAGGCCATTGAGCAGATTGAACAGCACGATGGTCATGAATAAGACGAAGAGCAGGAAGATGAAGTAGGTGGGCACGCTGTCGAATTTGATGCTGCTGGCGTCGAACTCGCCCGTCAACATGACTATGGTCTTGATCACGGCCTCGATGGGCTTTGAGAAGCTATTGAAGCCACTATCCCCCTCGGCTCCAGGTTGCGGCGGCTTCTCCTGCTGTTCCTGCGGCTTTCCGAACAGTATGTAGAAGCACAAGCTGAAGGTCACCACAAAGATGGAGTAGAGGCCAAAGCTCTTGATGAAGCTGCTCGAGACAGCACGTAGCATGAGCATGTGCGTCGATATCGACAATACGGGCAGCGAGCCAACAAGCAAGCAGAACTCCAAGGCAACCAGCAGGATGGTGCAGACAGCAAGCACCCGCTGTGTCTCCCTATCGAAGCTCGACTCCTTGCACGTCATAATGGAGAGGACAATCAGCGCCAATTCCAGCACATTGGTGAGGGAGAAGTAGTAACTCCACTTGGGTGCCATCAGCAACTGTATCAGCTCTCTTATAATCAGATAACATATGCCCACCCACGAGAGGATGGCGAAGAGGGCCGTCAGACCCGAATGGCTGCTCTCGTGGAACTTGAGCAGCGTGTAGATGATGATGGAGCCCGTGAAGAAGGTGTAGATCACAAAATTGATGTAGAAGATGAACGAGAGGCGGTGCCATTTCAGGAAGAGGAAACTGGAGATTAGTGGATGCTGCAGCAAGGGTCGCAGCTCCTTTGACTTGGCTATGCACGCAATGGGCGTCATTTCGTCCTGCGCTGGCATGGATCGCCGCTTGAGCGGCTGCTGCTCGACAATGGGCTGCTGTCGCATTAGGTTCTTGAAGTCGATGATAATCTCAAAGTTTTGGTCGCCCGCTTTTTGGGCATTTGTCGTGATGCAGGAGTCGAAATGTTGCTCCAGCAGCTCCGGCCACATATGCTCGATGGCCAGCTCACCGAAGACGCTCTTCGAGCCGATGTAGGCGCCGTGGCTCAGCAACGTCTGCACCGCCTCCATATTGCGGTATTTGACCGCATAGTAGAGCGGCACTTGGCCGCTGGCATCCTGCTCGTTGATGTCCACCAGCGGGCTATCGAGCAGCAGCTCGAAGCAGCGCGAATAATCACAGAAACTATCCAACGGCTGTTGGTCCAGCCTGCTGATCACGGCATTGAGCAGCCTGCTGTCGGGCCCCAGTTTCAGCTCCGGGTGCTGCAGCAGCTTCTCCAGTGCGCGCCAATTGCCCCAGATGATGGCCAGCTCCACAGCTGAGCTAGCCTGTCCCAATGGCTTCTGATTGACGTTGATGCCCGTCTGGAGTATCGCCTCGAAGGCGCTCTGCTTGCCCAGCTTGATGGACTCCATCAGGAGCGGCAGGTACTGCTCCTGCTGTATGTTGCGTTGGTTTTCCTGGTCACTGATGTTCAGCTTATGCTCAGCGAGTAGCTGCTCGAATTGGGACTCGTCGTCATCCCGCAGTTGCCGCAGCAATCTCTCCAAGTCAACCTCTCCATCGTCGTTCACCGATCGCTGCGGCGGCAGCTGAAGCTCTGGATACTGCGCCGCCAACATTTGACGCACTTCGCCATTGCGATAGGTATCGATGTCCAGGCTGGGCTGCTGCAAGAAGAGCTTCACCAGCTCCTGCTTGGCAGGAGCCGGTATCCTATTGTTGCGCAGCACCAAATGCAGCGGCGTCTGCTCGCCCTGGTCCACCACATTGGGCGAGGCTCCGTAATCGAGCAGCTGCTGCATGCATCTATGCACCTGCTCCACGTTCTCTGGCTTCAAATTCTTGGCCAGCGAGTGAAGTGGAGTCAGCCGGCCATATTTACGATCCACCAGCACCTCGGGACGGCGCAGCAGCACCGCCAAATTCAAGGGATCTCTGGAATCGCAGACATAGCTAATAGCTGCCTTATTGTGCTTCAGATTGATCTGCGGAAGAGAAAGACCACGTTGAGGTTATCTCCAGCTTCAGCTCTGGTCCAGCTACTCACATGATTCGCATTGCAGCCGTGTGCGAGGCATGCCTCGATAAATTCCGCGCAGCCCGGCGTGGACAGAGCCTTCTCATAGATGCTCGCGTGTCGCTCATCCTCCAGATTCGGCTGTGCGCCCAGCTGAAGCGCCGTTTGGAACTCTTTTATATTGCGATTGGCCAGCGCCGCGGCCAGCTGCGTCTGGGGATCACTTAACCCGCAACCGGTCAAGTCCATCTTTGTTGTATAGAGGAAGAGGTAGAGCTGTGAACTGGAATAGAAAATGCCCAAGGTGAGTATAAAATGTATACATAGATATCTAAATATATATGAGGCCAGTTTAGCCTAGCCATTAAACTAGATGATTTTAAAGGAAGCAATGTGCTACTCTTCTGATTAATCACATATCATTGTATTACTAATGAATTATCCAGAATTGACTGATAATAATTTTGTTTAATTATGTATTCATTTTATATATGATCAATATCAGCCAACAATAAGTTTCATTTATAGATGAACCCTTTAAAAATTCGTATATACATAGGTATATATACATGCCGCCGGGTGGCTGAGAATTTTACTGCAACTGGGCACTAAATGTTGAACAATATTTACCGATAAACATATATGTGTACATATATACATTTATATGTGCTGTCCTAAATCGCCGTAAGGCTTTCAACAATCCATTTTGTCATGTCTTATCATAACAGCTCATAAAATGATACTTGTATCATATTAGATTACATGTGTAGATGTGTAGAGCTTATATAAAAAAGCTAAAGTCTAGATTGCTTATATGGACATAGCCATCAAATGCCCCTCGGAAATAGTATGCCATAGAATAGGAATAAAGAAGCAGAAGAAACCCACATTCAATTTGAAGCGTAGTTGCATTCGTCCAGCTACGATATTCTATTTATGCTAAACGCGAGAAGGGGGCATGAAACCTTGAAGATAAACAAAAGTTTTTGGCTGCCTCACACACACACACACACACACACACACTAACAGAGAGAGAGCGAAAGAGAGAGGAAGAGCATGATGCTTGACACACGCTTCATGGTACGTTGATTTTCACAAGCTGTGGAGCGGGCGGGTTTTGGCCAAGTGTTGATGGTAGCTTGACCGTTTTTTCTGTTCGGTCAAAAGCTGCTTTACAGGTTTTTCTCACAGACAACCCAAAATATAGAAAAAACAAAAGCGAATTTCGAATACAAGATCATAAATGTACAATTGGATTTTGTGTGGTAATTAAAGAAAGCGTTCGCTTAAGTGCTTTCTGTGGTTCGCTCCCATCTAATTGCTTATGAAATTATAACAGTTGCGTGGGCGGGGCCGCATGTTAGCCTTGTGATCTGCTGACGCGGCGGTCAAGGTGGAATTTCGGGTTTTTCGTTTTCCTAACCATCATAAAGAATAATCATAAAATAATCGACATATCAATATCAATTAGCAATCAATTTGTTGCGCTTCACGCTTTCAATTCTTTTGCGATCTTTTGAGCCGCAAAGCTCGATTTGAAGATTCCGAAAAATGAAATTAAAAAATCAGTGATAAATATGATAGTCGGGTGTAACTGAATGTGTAATACTTGTTTATGATAATAATCGAATTCGAAATCTGTCTTTGATGTAGTTTAATGCAGTTCAGTTTCAAGACCTTGACTGAAATAAATATTTCCGAATTACCTAGCTACTTAAGTGTCTAATCCTAACAAATCTAGCACTTTACCAGATGCTATATTGCTAGATAGATAGGCAAAGCCAATATACTCTTTATATACCACTCGAATAAGTATTGAACCAAAATCGGCCTCTGCTTCTTCTTCGTCTGTTTGGGGCTATTCAATTCGAATCTGTTTTGACGCTTGATATGTGTGAGAAATCGGCTAATCACGCCAGAGTCGAAGACTTGAGCTCATTTGAATATACCCCAGCTGCTGTATATATAATCAAACGCACAGCTGAGTTGAAGAAGCAGAAGATGAAGATGACGCGGAGGAAGAAGAAGAGAGAATATATATTAGTAATCAGCGAACAACTAATAAGTAGCTGTCGTTATTTGATAGCTTTTACAAATTATTCATTGTAAGACAACAGCAACAACAACAACAACAACAAAGTCTTCTTGCTATTGGGCACTATTTGCAGCATCACTTCAGCTAATTGGCTGGCTTTATTCGGGGGTTCGAATTCTTTCAAATTCATTCGAAACGAGCCTAGGGTTTTCAGATTGTGCTGCCTCTATTATTACAGCGAAGATAAATGATAATTTGTACGGCCTATGAACTTGGATTTTTATTTATCAGGCAGACTTTTATTGGTAGGTGTTAAAGCCGCTTAATTAAAGGCAGCTTAAGACAGGGAGAGAGTTCGAGCGCTGCACAAAATCGAATATTTAGTTAATATATTTAACAAACTATAATTTATTTACATCTGAAATGCGAAGCATTAGCTGCGTTGTGGAATCTGTTTAAACATGACTCACTATTGTTTGCTTGAAAAAAAAACAGACTTGGCCTCAAACTCCGTGACGAATCTGCAGAAATTAGCATATTTTTAATATATTTAACGTTGTTTCTTTCCCAAGTGAAGTTCAAATAGGAAGCGTATTGTGGAATAGAGCCTGTTCGACTCTAAGACTAGTCCCAGGTCTGCACTCCCAGTCGAAACGTCACTGTGGACGCAGAGACAATAATTAAAGTCTCAGAACAAGGTCTTACTGGTCTTACATTACATGCCTATCAGCTTTCCCATGAAGATATAACGATATTTTTACATCCACCCATATGCTACCATTGTAGATATAATAAACCATGATTCAATACAAAAATAGTGCCCATGTAATCAAGTAAGCAAGTTCAAGCTCCGCAATGTCTCAGGTAACTCTCGGAATACAATTGTCAACACATTAGCCCCAGCACTGTTTGCCTTTGGCTGCTGTTTGCGAATTCAATTAAAGCTGTCGCATGACAAAAGAATTCATTGTTTGATAGGCAAATAGAACTTAAAGGTATTAGAATGAAGTAATTGAGCAGCAGTTTGCTCTTCTCCTTGCTCTTCTACTTCTTCTGGGCAGGTTTCGAGCTGAGATCTGAAAAGTAAAACTGCAAAAATGCAATCTCAGCTGCATTTCGCAGAGCTGGCCAAACTTGTTCAGCGAGTTTTCCTTGCAGACAGAAATTGAAAGCAATAAAAGTTGAGAAATAATTACCTAACTTCGAGGAAGTTTTGCGCAACTCAGGTTCCATGACAAGTTTATTGCACGGATCGCATAAACAAGCAAAAAACATTTAAGTGTGCTTTAGAGGAGAGTGGCTGAAAGATACTCTGAAGGCCTGAGTGGAGCTGTTCCTCTAAACATTGGAATGAATGAATGGAGAGGCAGACAGAGGGAAGGATAAAAAGAAGAGCGCACTTATAGAAAATTGAAAAGATAGGCGGATAAGCGGAGGGAGCTACCAGAGAACACCGCTAGATTGACTCTGCAGTGGATTCTGATCAAGAATGTATAATAATATTTACATAGAATTTATAATATCATTGATCCCTTCTCTTGACTGTTACAAACATTTCCACAAATACGCAATACTCCAAACAACCAATTTCAATGGCTTTAGGGTATCAGATAAAGACAGAAAAAAACATTTATGTGTTTGTCAGCAATTTTGGGAGTCGAGTTCGCTGTACGTGACGCGCTGTCTTTGAGAGGGAGAAAGGCGTGTCAAAAAAGTCGGGCAGCGTGATCTTCAAAATCTCTAGAAGCTCTCCAGATGGGCCAACTTGAGAAGCACACACAGTCATATATATATAGACATTTATATATGTATGTATATAATGATCTATATCATGAGCCGTTTCAGTATTAAACTGATTAGTTTTAGCGAATTGTTGTTTATTTCATTTATAGCTGATTTTTAATACAGCTGCAAAAAATGCTGTTTACATTACAGTTTGAAGAATGTTCACTGCATTAAAGAAGAAGAAGAAGAAGTCGACTATAAACACAAACACACTTTTTCATAGAGCTAACAAAATCTTGTTTCTTAATGCGCTCAAGTGCGCAATTATAAACAGTTCATGTTTAGCATACAGGAATGAGTTCCGCCGTATACCCTGGACCATTCAGAGAAATCTACAACTTTTTCACACTCTATAGTAGTGTTAAGGAACAATTTGTTATGTGTAGGTGTGTAAAAGATCTTCTTCTCCAGAACGTTATGTATAAGAGCTTATCCTTGATAACCTGCCAAAGTACCGTTGAAATACCTCAGATCTTATTTAAATCAAAGTGTGTATGCTAGACATTTTAGACGGTCAATTGACTATATATGATCAGGAATATATGTGCCTATATATCTATCTACATGTACATACATATATAAGTTCGTTTCGCTTGCCTGCCTTGCTCTCCCCCTACCTCTCTATCCCTCTGTCTACTGCTACCATTTAATTAAGCCCTTCTTTTTCGCTGATTTTCAATGGGTATTATGAAAACATGGCCCTAGTAGTACCGCTCGTTGCTGCTTTTTATCTTGTCTTCATTTTTGAGCATCTCCGAAATTGTCATCATAAAAAAACGTCATAATTAAGATGGATGTGCCTGAAGAGGGACTGAAGCTGAGTCGCCTGAGCATGACTTCATACGACTCTCTCTTCTCTCTCGCTCTCAATGGCATACGCCGAAAAAAATTCATTTCCAGTATGGAAACACATACACACGCGCGCGCACTTCCACAGCGACAATAAGTGGATGTATATAGTCTCTATATACCCAGTGTGCACTTCATAAACAATTGGCTGGCCTAGATGGAGAGCAATAACAAAAACATTTCACGATTACAATAACAAGAGGTTGGTCGACTGGGCAGAGGGTGGGAGGAGGGAGGCAGTCGGGTGTGTGGGGGTTGGCCCTCTTTCAATAATTTGTAAAACTAAACGAATTAAATACACACACACACTTACACACAGAGAGTGTGGAAAATCGTGGCGAGCGAACGAGATTCGCTGCTGGTGCTAAACAAATGCCACGACATATTCCAATTAATTAAATGAAATTAATCTAAAATTCAAATCGCCAGTCAAAGAGTTAACAGTTATTGAGCTAATTACCGCACCCCCACCCAACCCCCAATCAAATATATGCCAGCTACGCCACTGTTTATGGCACGAAAAAAGTGGAAAAAATACAAATCGTGGGCGTAGCCAATAGAAATTAAGCAGGAGCACGGGCAGGTAGGCTAAACAGAAGGAGAAACAGAGAGAGAGAGAGAGAGCGAGAGTGAGAGAGAATGAAGAGGTTTCGGCATGTCCATGCCTTAAGCAGTCAATTATTGAGTTTATGCAGCTAATAGAGCAATAAACATATGCAAATGCTAACACAAACACAGACATATATAGAGTTGGATTAATGTACTGATAATTGAGCCTAACGGAAATGGCGCATGAGTGTGCGTGCGTGCGCTTGCCAGTGTGTTTGAGTGTGTGTGTGTGTGCGTGCCTTAAGTCAATGTTAATTGGGAAACGCAGTGAAAACTGCAATCTATACATATATATAGAGATATATAATATATATTTATATGTATAAATATATATGCTATTATTCTCTCATATCGTCAGCTCATGCCTGGCCAAAGGCGTTGCCTTAAAAGGCAGCTACAAGTGTCTCTTTTTCTTCTTTTTAATAGATCTGCCCACTGGAATAAGCCAAAAATTTGTGTAGAAAAACTCTTTTTAGATGAGGTCACAACACTTTTAAAAAAGATAATATATATGTATATCTCTATGCATAGCATAGTGTTTGAAGTATTTTTTAGCAATTTGTCTTTAAAATTTTTTATTAATTAATTGCAGTTTCTTTTGTTTTAGCGCGTCATTTGTTCCTTGATTCGAAAAACGTGTTTTCAAACTTTTTTATTTTTAATTTATTATTGTTGTGTTGTTGTTGTTTGTGTGGGTCGTAAGTGCTTGGCAGTTTGCAACTGCGGTTTGCTCATTTGTTGTTGTATCTGCATTACAGGCGTGATTCACTTTAACTGTCATTTAGTATATTGAAATCTCAGTCGATGAGTGTGGGCACACGGCATCTCTTAAGATAAATCACTTTCGATTTGCATATGTATTATGATTCATTCCGTTTCGAATATTATTTCACTTGTTAAGTTTCATTTTGAAAATTGCCATATTTGGGTTTTTTTTTTTTTTTAATTTAAACACTCACTAAATGCTTGCGCGCCAGACAACTGCACTCCGAAATATCCAAAGACCAACTGATCAGTAACTTGAACCGATCAACAAGTTGCGATCCCCAGCAAACCAAAAAGCAAAGCTGTACATTTCAATGGAATAAATTGACAGCAAGCAAAAGTAGGCTTTCTAAAGCGAGAAAGAGACAGAATGGTTTCATTAAAGGCAACATCTAAGAGTAGGCTATACAAATTTAAAGTCGGTATAAAAGCCTACATACATACAGCTAATATCTGATATATGTATGGTATATTTTTACCGAACACATTTATAGATGTGATAAATTACAATTTAACTTACAATATATACTAACTAAGCTACAATTTTGATTTAATTACAGATCTTATGCAAAATCAGTTGGATGATCCGGAAATATCACATCTGAGAAGTCAAGGAAACAGCATATTTTGTATGAATACTACATATATAAGTTTAAGTCAAACTTTACATGTATGATTAGTCACAGGCAATATAAATAACATACTTCACGGATTTTCATTAAATGCCAGCACCGTACTTATAAAAATGTGTTGCATAGTTTTTTGCTGGCGAAATTATACACTGCAGCCCATGTTTGTGATCGAAAATCGACTTCTCTTGAAACTGAAAATTGTTGATGGCAATCGATGCCAGGCATCGTCACGGGTTTAAAGAGATTTATTTATTTATTTATATAACTGGAGATATGATCATTTAAAGACCCAATTATATCTAGCTGCAGTTGCTGCTTAAACAGCTGTTTAACATAGCAGACAGAGTAACAGCAGCTTAGCAGGCCACTAGCATATGAATTTTAAATTTACAAATCAACCCAAAAGTATGCCATAATATTCGTACGAATTTATCGTAAAATGCACTTGAATGTTCGAGCAGAGATTAACCAGCGTTATCACAGCTCCAAATATATACATACTAATTCTTAAACATATTTTTTAATTTAATTAAAATCAGATCTTCGGTCCCCATGAGATGACTTCCAGTGCAATGCTCTTCAGAGACTCAGCATCGATGTCATGGCTGGCCAGCGTTTTAATCAGATTCTGAACATTCTGCGACTTCTGCAATGACAAAGAAAATACAATAAATATGTATATGTATATATTATATATAGATTATATAGCGAATTTACTACCATAGTCTTGTCCAGCAGAGATTTGAATGCATCGCTGCGTATGGCTTCGTAGAATTTGGGAAAAACTGTTCCACTCTTACGTTTCTCGTTGATTAAAGCCACAAACCGATCGCGCGGTAGATGAGCCAATAATTCCTGGGCAAAGCTCACAAAACTATTGAGGTTGGTCGATCGCTTGGGCTCCTGCTGGATATTTAGTGGCACGAGTATCACCACCAAGCTATTTTCATCCGCACCCCCCTCGTTCTCCTCCTCGTTAAACGCACTTTCAGTTATCGATGGATAGCCATAGCTTTTGTACGCATAGGCTCTTAGCTGCTGCTCGACGCTTTTATTGATTAGAATTCGCGATCTGATAGCCGTATCATTCAAATGCACGAAATTTATAACCTCAATTATCTCGGGCAGCGACTCGGCGCGTTGCTGCAAGTGCTTAAAGTCGGAACTGCGCAGAAATTTGATCGCTTTGCGGAATCCCGAATCGGTTAGCATATGCTCGGCGACGACCTCATCGACGGTAATACTCGGTATGAGATCAATGAACTCGCGCAGATCCTGCAACAGCTCTGGGGAGTAGGTGACAGGATCAGCCTGCAGCTTGGCTGGCCACCAGCGCCTGCTGCTTGCTTCCAGCGAAGCACCGCACAACGCAAAACAAATCGCGAATAAAATTTTCGACATCCCCACCGAAGTTAATTGAACCGCACTCCTCTGTGTCTGGCGGTGAACTGACGCCTTGTCTGAAAATGAATTATGCTCAGCCTGTGCTACTCACACATACACTAGCACACTGTTCGGTTAAGTCTCTTGCTTATCAACTAAGTAATTGAGGTTACAGTCAGTTCGAGTCTCTCAGAACGAGATATATACATATATATATGTATATGTATGTATATGTATGTATATGTATGTACATGTTTATACATTTATGCAGTGTTTATATGTACGCAGTAAAGCCGCGCCTGAAAGAGCATATGCCGGTCAGATTAAGTTGTTGAGTTGTATATGTGTCTTTTTATACCTACATGTGTGTGTTGTCTGCCTTAAGAAGAGCGAGGGAGAGCGCTGTGTCTTCCAGATCTGCAATGAGAGCTGTCCCACTCACATATGCATATGTCAATACTGTAAAAGTACAGGTACTGGTTGATTTTTGCGTATTTGTTTGCAATTGAGTTGTGAGCGATGCTCGCTCGTAATGTATGTATCCAAATGAGTATTTCTACTTCTGCCTTTCTTATCTTAAGAAGAGTGAAGAGAGTGAGAGAGCTAATACCGGCAAGACGGTTCATTAGCTGTGTTCATTTTCGGCAAATAAAGTTTAGAGCAAATGGGAGAGAAATATACAGTGATTTTGATTAGTCTGCGCACACAACCATAAACAAAGACATTTGATAAGCGTTTTAAATCGCAATGTTTTGTTTAATTTGACATTTATATATAAAAATCTTGCTTATTTATATTATTTTTCATCTGTATGAAAACAAATGTGTATGTACATGATTTACTTTTGAGAAACTGAGTAAACAGTAGTTACAGGTAAACTTATTGATATATGTATGTCTACATCTAGTTTATGCTGAGACTAACATTAAAGATTGCACATTTCCGGCCCAAAGACTGCTAACATTTATCACAATTCGCATCCGATAACTAGCTGATGCGATGTAAGCTAGTTATATATTTATATAAATATGTATATAATGTTCAGTTAACTATAGAGTGTTCATTGCTTGTTTGGTATAGGGGGAGCCAGACAGGGATGTGTCACCCATAGAGGCAACTATTGCAATATCACCTGCAGCACCCCCTGCCCTACTAATGTAAATATTCAATATATTTAGGTTTAAATTGCACCTTATGGTTTGGCAAGAAACGTAGTATTATTGCACCTGTTGGTTGCTTAACTTAATGGAAGTCTTTCGTCTTGTTCAGATATTGCACATTCCTAAATTATATACATACATATGTGTATGTATATGTGTATATTACTATATAGATTTTATAAACTAACTTTTTCGTATCATCTTGTAGAGCACCGAGTGGGTCTCGATGCTCTCCGCACCTGATTCCCACATATCCTCCGCATTCGTCTCCTCGTCGGATGATCCGCAACAAGTGCTGTGCCCTCTTCGCTGCTCGTCCTCCGAGGAATAGGAGGACATCGTATTGGAGCTGTTCCGATCATTAGTTTGTGAACGTGTCAGAGTCTTGTCGGATTCAGCATCGCTCAGTTCCTCGCCAGTATTTGGAGGTACTCGATCGTTGCCCGGCGAGACCATGTGCTCCAGATCCTCAAAGCGTGAAGCATCCATCTCCAACCTGTTCCCGTTCACGCTCTCCTCCTCATTGTCCTCAATGGTATCGACCCGTATGATCTGTCGCTTGAAGTTGTATCGATCGTAGACGTTGCGTTTGTACAGCTCCGTGGAATCGGTGCTCATGTACCCACTGTCCAGCTGTCCGAAACGCTGCTCGTAGTAGTTCTGCCCTACCGGCTGTGCCTGGGAGCCCGGCTGAGCCGCTGCTGCCTCAATGATGGAGACGATGCCATCTTCATCCTCCAAAAATCCAGCTGCATTCTTGGTGCCATACGTCGGAGCTGGACTCTGGCTCGGGCTGAACTTGTTGGCTGCCATGGTCACGAATTTGCGCCATGCATTCTTCAGATCCTTGGCCTTCTTGGCCCGATCCTTCAGGCCAATGGCAATCTGCATGCCCGCCGTCAATTGCGCCGGCTCAATCTCGCAGCGATAGACGGTCTGCACATTCACATTGGAGCTGGTTGTGGAGGTGGTGACAACACTGTTGGCCGCTCTTTGGGGATAGGCAATGCCCACTGGCACTCCAGCATTCCTGTACATCTCCTTGGTGCGCTCCGAGAGGTGGCTGCTGCTTCTGTTCGATCGCGAGCTGATGGACAGCGCATCGAATTGATTGAGATCCACATCCTTAAGGTTCTTTACATTGTTGTTGTTGTTGTTGCTRCTGGAGTCAAGATCTGAGGAGTCCTTCAACTCCAGCTCCTGCTCCTTTTCCTTTTCCTTTTCCTGATCCATTTCGTTATTGCTCTCACGCTTCCGTCGATTGAGATACTTGTTGAGGCTGTAGTCATTGCGCAGGCTATTCATCTTCTTGCCGTAGATGCCTTCCATGCCGTCGTAGTCCGCATCCAGCTGCGCCTTCTGCTCCAACACAGAGGACTTTCCCTTCAACGGCTTCGACTGCTCTGTCCTGGCCGAGATGACGCTGGACATGGTATTGTTGCAGGAGTTATCGAGGGTATCCGAGACGCCCGTCAGCTCGGTTATCTCGCTGCGCAGACTGTAGGCATCGTCGTCGGCAGCTCCTCCTCTCTCCTGGTAGTTAGGCGAGGGTGGTGGGGGCGGCAACGGACGCTTGTTGTGCACCAATGGGGCGCAGTAGTGCTGCTTGGCCTTGCTCGGCTCGGCCTTAGCCGGCTGCTGTTTCTCTGGCAGCTTGGGCGAGGATATCGTTATAGTGGTCTTATTCACACTGGCCTTGCTCACGTCCACCACGGACAGGGTGGGCGAGGACTGCAAGCCGCGCTGTCGCCTGGAGTGCTTCGCCTCCAGCGCCAGGATGCGACCCTGCTCTTCGCTCTGCTGCTGCGTCTCGCTCTTGATGTTCTCCTGCACAGCCAGAGGTGACTCGTAGATCTCGCGCAGATTCCGAAAAGAGTTGCTGGAGCGCAGTATGAAGGAGGCCGTTCGTGGCTTATTCAGTTGGCTGTTCTCCACCGGGCAGCTGCCCACCTGGCGACTGAGATCGGGCAACGAGTTGATTTGATTGTAGTCCTCGAGATCGGCTCTGCTCTGCCGGCCATGATTATCCCAAGCGTTGATGTCGCAAAAGCTCTGCTTCTTGGGCTTGCGATCGAGTGTGTCCGGCTCGAACTGGTCGCTGTCCGTGCGCTCCATATCGGAAGGCGGCTCGTGCTCTACCTCGATGGTCATGCTGCCACGAAAGGGCGTGTCGTACTTGATGCGGGCCGCCGCCTCCTTGTGCCGCTGCGCCTGGCCATGATGCTGACCATGCTGATGCTTGCCGGCTAGACGCTTCTTTAGATCGCCCTCCTTGCGAAATCCGTTGACGCGATCGTAGACCGTGTGGCTGATCTCCATCTCCTCCTCCAGCGGTAGAGCGGTGCTCAAGCTGGGGCTGAGCTGTGAGCTGACATCGGATGAGGGCGAGCTGGAGGAGTGCGAGCTCTTGCGCTTGCTCGGCTCCAGACGCTCCAGGCTATCCGTCTCGTAGTCCACGATCAGATACTGCGGCGATTTGCGTCTGTAGATCGGCGAATCCGGCTGAAATTGCTTCAGGCTTTTGCGACTCAGTGAGCTGTAGTCCGGCGTGGGCACGGATGGAATGCTGCTCTGGGTGCTGCTGTAGATGTCCTTGATCTTCTTCTCCATGGTGCTGTCGTAGTCCGGCGTGGGAATGTGCGCCGCATACTCACGCTTCAGCGAGTCGTATATCAGCTCCGCTGGCTTCATGTTACGCAGCATATTATAATGCTGGCGATCGAAGGAGTTGAGCGAGGTGGGCGTCGAATTGGCCGCGGCGAATTGGTCCAAGACGTCGCCGCGCTTGCGCAGCGACTTGGAATGGCTGGAAGCGCTGCGCATGGAGCCAGCCGGCGAATCGGCCAGCATAAACTTGGGATTATTATAGATCTCTCCGCCAGTTTCGGCAAAGCTGTACACATTGGCGGATACGGTTGCCGAATACGCCGTATAGCTGTTATAGGACGGCGACTTGGGCTTGACGGGCTCAGGACTGGACTTGTTGGAGCGCAGATCTTTGCTTGAGCTGGACTGCGGCTCTGGCATGGACTGTGCCTCCTGCTGCGACTTGGGCATGGGCGGCGGAGGGGGACGCTCCTTTGGCGCCGAGATCTCCTTGCGCTGCGTGGGCTTTGTAGGTGACCCGTTGCCCTTCTTCGGCTGCTGCGTTGGCTCTGAGTTGGGCACGCTCTGCAGCCACTGCTCGATGCTGTTGCGCTTGTCCCCCACGCTCTTGGCTTGCAAATTCTGCTGCTGCAGCAGCGGCGCCTTGTACCTGGTCGAGTTGGAGTCCAGGCTAGCCTCCTCGGGTATGATATTCAGCGATGGCTGGTAGCGCTTCGCAGCCATCTTATACTTGGCAATGGCAATGACCTCGCGAATCTTTTGCAGAAACTCAATGGCAGCTTGTGGGGGCTCCTGCAGAGAGAAGGTATTGAGATTAGGGATGGTTTCGAGTACATGACTCCTCCACTTGGACCTACCGCTAACAAGTGTGGCTCAAAGTAGGCTGGATTGAAGTAGAGCTTCTTGCGCACATTGCCGTTGACCATGGCGCGAAGGTTCTCTAGCTTCTCCTCACTCATCAGATCCTCGATGACAGCCACATTCTCTGTGGGCAGGCACTCGTTGTCCTGCCGAAAGTCGTCTGACTCGTGGGAGGAGCTCTCCGCTCCAGAGGCGTGGCCCGGCTTGGGCGATTTGTTCAGCTGTGGATGCACCAGAACCGAAACCGAGCTCTGCAGTAGAATCAGGTCAGGCTGTCTACCAGAGATCCAGTGCGAAGCTGTTTGGACTCACCTTAATCTTCTCCTCCATCTCGCACTCAGAGTTCGAGTTGGAGATGTCGCTGACAAAGCCAGAGTTGTGCTCCCGTTCGCCCAGCTGTGGGAAGTGCTGCAGCAGCGGATTGTTCTTCACGATGCCCAGATCATCCTTCAGGCTGGCCATGCTGGCCCGTGTGCCCGCCTCGTTGCCATTGCCACTGCCCAGGCCCATGCTGTTGGCCGAGTAGATGCTGCCCACTCGACTGAAGGGCGCTCCGTATGTCACTTGGTCGTTCTTCGGATAGTTGATCTCATTGGCCAGGTTGTCCAGCGAGTGGCGGGAGTTGTGACGCCCTCGACTCTTGCGCTTCTTCATGTACAGATAGAGAAACACGGACGCCACGTAGATGAGACCCAGCAGCAGGCTGCAGATGCCAATGACCACGTACTCTCGCATGGTCATGCCATCCGAGGTGGAGGCCAGAGTCGTCGAGTTGGCGGGCTGAAAGAAGACCTCCGGCACATCTAAGCACGAGTCGGGAGGCACGTTTAGGCTGCGTACAGACGAGCAGTTGGCCGTACTTACTGTGCGTATATTTGACTGGGCTGCCATTGACCCGGAAGGCGACGCACGGCGAGTGCACATTCTTGGGCGGCATCAGATGATCTGCAAGGGAAATTCAGGGCAATTCAGGTAATGTCAATAGCTAGGCTGTCCGTTCTCTATGGGTCGTCTGTCTAGCTGTACTCTAGCTGTCTCTATTTATCTATCCATCTCGATTAGACTCACCTTTCTGGCTGGCGTTTAAGGCCACGGTCATGTCGCGGCACACCAGGTGCACCACGATCAGTCGGCCCTGCATCTTCTGCCTCAGCTCCGTCTCGCCCAGCCACTGCAGAAAGCTGCGGCCCTCGTCGCGGAACATGCGAAATGGATAGTCCGTGTCAATGGGGTTACGCAGATCCGACCAGCCATTCGAGCTGAGGTACTGGGCGCCCGTAACCGCACAGACCGGCGTGTGTATATCTAAATGCACACATGTATGTAGAGCTGGCTATACGTATATGCCGCATGTGTGTGGGCTATACTTACTGGGAAAACTGATTTCTCTGCTGGGGTAAATGATTTGGCCGCGCAGCGGCAAAAACACAAATGGAATTTTCTCCGACGATGAGCCGCTAACAAATGGTGAGAGAGAGCATTCTGCAAAAATAAATGAAAGATAAAGAAAAACATAAACAAAAACAAACACAAAAACAAAACAAAAAAGAGCTCAATGAGAAAGTCTGGACAGCGACGATAGCAACAAAAATATGAATTAGAAATAATATGGCAATGTTTATATCACAGCTGTGATAACATCGCACGATCGATCTATTATTGATACCAGAGCCAGACAGATTTTCCCAAAAAAAAAAAAAAAAAAAAAAAAAACAATAAAACATTTTTGTTTTTATTTCTCGAAACGCTCTTACTTTCCGTCTTGATGGATTTTCGAAGGTTTATTGTTATGGTTATTGTTGATGTTACGATTGTCATTGTTGCCGTCAGCGAAAGTTGGCTTAAACTATTTTTCCTTTCATAAAAGTGCTTCGAGTTGATTTGTTCAATAATAGCACATATTTGCCATACTAGCCGACGTCTATAGCTACCGTTTGTAAAGCCTCGAGTTACCCTAATATTCGCAGTTGTTTGACTTGCATAAGAGCTACGACAGGAGAGGTAGCTATAGTAGGTGTGTGAGAAGTGTGGGGAATAAAGGGAGGGTGCGGGATAGTAATTATAATTTATCACTTAGCAATAATCTGAAACATCGAAAGAGTCAGAAGGTAGTTGAGAGTAAAGCCTTGTAGAGAACAGAACATCTATCGACTTTATTCTGGAGAGTTAGCCAAATCCTTGAATATGGAATATCGTCGATGATTCCTGATTTCTTTTCTTCAAGCAATGCTTCTCTCTTTTATGATTGTAGAGGATTTCGACATGATTTTAAGATATTCTCAATATGCTATAGAACTTGCTCTATTCTATTCCCTTTTTGTCTAGATTAACGAGATCAATGTCCTTTTCCTTCAGTTAGGTATCTGCATTTGCAGAGTATCTACTCTTCGTCTACCTCCACTTGGGGCCCTGCTCTCGTCTCTTTGTCGCTGATATATTTTGCGTCACGTTTCGTTTTCATTCTCCAGTTCGAGCGCTCGCGCCCTGCACAATTTTGTTATTATTATTACAGCATTTCTTTTTCGCAATCAAAGCAGAAAAAATAGTTGAGCAACCATTGTGATTTTTTGCTTTTTTGGCTATAATATATATTCAGCTAACAATGCCTGGGAAAATGGTAGCGAAATTTCCCAGCGCCACTTGCCAGCTGTGGAAATGGAGCACACAATTTGCAGCGAATTGGCTGACTAATTATTTAGCCAGCACTTCCGCGTCATCGTCATCGTCATCCTCAACATCACCATCACCATCACCATAACCATCATCGTCATCGTCATCGTCATCAGCTCTTCCACTTTGGCACTTACCATGTATGTCATCCACACAGATGCCCAAATCCTCGCGATAGGCCCGCAAATATGGTAGGCAGCGGCAGCTGCAGCCCTCCTCCTCCTCGGCGCCCGCCTCCTTCTGCGCAGCCACGCCTCCTGCCTGAGCACTGCCGCGCTGCAGCTTCACGCGGCGCGTGAGCAGCTCAAGCCTCGAGCTGGCCAGCGAGGCGGAGGCTTGACCCACTGCATCGCCAGCTAGGCAAATGAAATAAGCAAGCAAACAGAGGCACAGATTAGGCAACGTGTGGCAAATAAAATTTCCATATGAATCGGCGCATTACCGTTGGAGTCGCCACCCAGACGAACGACAGCCGCCGTGCCGCTGGACAGGCCGATGCAGGTGTCCGCGTTGCAAGCGCCGCCAAGACCCAAGCCTGCGTGAAAAGAAAGAGAAACTGTTAACGGAGACGAACACAGCGAGAGAAGGGAGCGAGGCAGTGAGGGGGACTGGCTGACTGGAGACTGGTGGGAGACTCTGGAAGGGGGCAGAACTGTTGTCAGCTTGATTTAAGCCCGTCACAACAGAACGAGCCAAGAGCCTACACTGAGAGAAACGAAGATTAGCATCAAACTTCGATGATAGATTCAAAAATATAAACAATATTTAACTAAAGAGATGAAAGTTCTGAAGAAAAGAGTATGGCCCGCGACTTAGAAACTCTTTGAGGAGAAAATATCGATTATTCCAAAAAAGTTCAACTGGAAAAGAAGTCAATAGCTATAAAAAAGCTCTAGTCGGCAATAGCCACAGCGGCCCGTTGTCTATGATTATCAAACCTATACCTATAGTCTTCTGGACTGGAACTGGAACTGGCACATAACTGTCCCGTGTTGCAGATGATACTATCTCTTTTCTCTCTGCCGATTCAGGTTGTGTTATCTGGGCTTTGCTTGTAACTGTTTTACGTGCGCCAGAATACATAAAAATTGAGAGACTGACAGATGTCCAAATTGAGATACATATGAAGAGAAGTTATGTATATTATATGATTTTATATCGAATGACATTTTAGTCTGTAGTCCATAAAAAAATTGTATCTGTGCCAAAAATCTAGCTAAACTTCAAAATTAATTTAAAGAAATTCGATTCTATCTCCCGATTTGAAGTCACTTGATTTGATTTCTCTGTCTGTAGCTCAGCTTGGCTAATAAGTTGACTGGCTGGAAATTAATGCTGCTGTCAGCAGCATGGCTCACAGCATTAGCAGCAACATCAGCAGCATCAGCAACATCAGCAACATCAGCAGCAGTTGCAGCTTGAAGCTGTTTGAAGCTTAAGCTTTAGGATTTCTATTAGGGGTTATACTATATGCTTGATATACTACAGTTGTTGCTTACCGCTCGTATAGAAGATATCGCCATCGTGATGCCTTGTCAGATTGATTAGCTGTCCGTTAGACTGTTGTAGATCCTCTAACAGTAAATTTGCTGGCATTAAATCAGCTAGTTGATTTCTCTGAATGTCGTTGTGTCGCTTCTTATTGTTGTTGTTGTTGTTGCTGGTGGTGGCAGCAAACACAGCTGCTTGGGTCGCCGCCAAGGAGGTGGCGCCAATGACCTGCCCGCCAGCTCTGCTTGGGGGCGCTGTGGGCGTGCCAGTTGCTCTGCGACAGCAGCAGCAGCCAGCGAGCAGCAGCAGCGGCAGCCAGAAGGAATAGCCAATGTTGGTGCGAGACATCGCAGCAAGCGCATCATAGCTAATGCATGCGACCGGGTCGGACTGGGGCTAGAAACGTAAAACGAGAAAACGAAAACAAAATAAGTACATTTAAGCCATAAATAAGTTGTACAAGAGAGAAAACGCGCGACTAATTAAAACAAATCCAAAACGCAACAACGCGAAAAAACAGCAGCAAAAGGCGAAAAACACAGAAAACAAAAAAAAGTGAGAAGTAAACGGCTAGAAGATACTCTGAGCGCAGAGATGGATGAAGGTATGATTATGCGATTGGGATATTCTCTAAATATGTGTAAATGAGAGAGGATAGACAAAATATGGCGACTTTAGCTCTTCCCTTTTATAAGAATGTATCGCTAAAAATTATCTAAATTACATTATTATAAACAAAAATGTTGTAAGTGAAGCGAGAGGTAGTTAAAAAGTTCGTTAAATGTAATTTGATTAGCTAGAGCTAGTATGGATTCGCTCTTAATACTCTTAATGGTATTTACATGTGCTTTCACAAAATTTGATGGCTCTAGCTCCTAAAGTTCTTGAGTTATGCTGAAATTGAATTTTTATTGGTAGTAAAAACAAGTAAAGATATTGAAGCTTAGCTGCGGCTGCTACAATGCAGAGAGAGAGGGAGAGAGAGAGAGAGCAGTAAAAATAGAAAACCCATAACGTTTAATTGATATTTATTATGTGCTAATCCGTAAATATATCCAACAAATTTCCATTGTTAAGTTCCGCATACAAAATTTAATGACCTCAGCGCCTGCAGTTATCGATTTATGCTTAAAAAAGCATGTCCCAAATTAGAAGTTTATTGATATAGGGGGAATTCTGTGATCTAAGAATGCAGAACTTGTCATGCGAATAAACTAACGGAATATACATCTATCTATAAATATTTACAACTTGAAGACTACGTCAATTACATTGACCAAGCCCATCGACATTATCTAGAATCTGTCAGCTTTTTATGTTTAGCTGCAGGTAAAGGAGGGTGGAGGGGGGAGGGGAGGGGTGGCTGTAACATGCATTGCCACATAAACGTGATACCCGTTTTGCTCATTCGAAATGGCTTCAGGGTATGAAAGAAAAACAAATACGTTTAGATTTCCCCACTGACTGCGCTTGTCCGCACACACACACACACACACACGCACACATACATACAGCCAACACACACGCACACCCAGGTGACATTCTTTAAGCGGCGGTAATGAGGCAAAAATTGTTGCCGTCCATTTTTGTAAATGGAGCAGCATCAAAAGCCAAGTGGTTGCTGCTGCGGCTACTGTTGTTGTTGTTGTTATTGTAGTTAGTTGCTAGTTGCAGCGGCAGCTAACGGACAACATTTAAACAAATGTTGCAATTAAAACTCGTTCTGCGAGGCGAAATGTATATACTTATAAAAAACACGCACACACACTCACACGCTGGCACCACCAGCACCATCAGCACCACCGGCGAGAATTATGCAGCGGTGGAGCAAGTGCGTCGCTTCTGCCTGGGAACACGCTGCGTATATGCCACATATGTATATCTAACCTGGCCTGCTCGCGGTATACCGTTACAAATGCGACTGCAGTTATGTCTGCTTAATCTACATACACCCAGTAATAGCGAGAGAACTAAAGAGAGAGAGAGAGAGAGGAGGGGGGCGAGTGAATGGTTGTTGTATTTATACCGCTAATCAGTTGCACTTTAGCCGCTTGACCATAATTTACATAAATATTTCACACAAACAAAGCAACACACAAAATAATATTGGGGACTTCTAACTGTTTGTTACACTTAACCTATACAAAGAGAAGGAGAAGAAGAACACAATAACAACAGCAACAATAAAATTAACAATAGTCTAAGTGGAAACAATCATTATGTTTTTTTCTCTTCTCTTTTTTTTTTTTGTGGCTCTAGAATATGAGAAGAAAGCGATAAAAAAAAGCAACAGTTGCGGCCTAATTTGAAAGTAAAATTTTGTGTGAAGTTCGTGGCCAGAGTCTTTTGATTTGTTAGTTCGTTGCTTGAGTCTCTTTGATTGAGCAGTCGAACAGCGCGAACCATTTTGTACAGTTAGCTGGCATTTAAAGATTAACAATAATATATAATACCATGTATTTATGGATGAGGCTGCTGTGGCCCAATCTCTTTGCATTTTGAAACAATTTAATGACAGAGGTGACCTGATTTTTAGCCATTTTAAAGCTTGATTTTGCTTTTTAGCCAGCGCTGCTGCAGAAAATGCCTGACTGATGTGATTTTGATGATGCGACTGCGACTGGGAATTGTAGCGCGCTACAATTGACTTTGCATTGACTTTTTGCATTCGTCTAAACTCAATTAACAGGTAATTGAACTTTGCGCGCCAGCTGCATACATACCTACCACATACATATATATATGTACATATATTTATTTATATGGCTACATGCTGCTGCATGCACGTTCATTAATTATTAGGCAACACGATATGCTGCACATTGTTCTAACTTTGCGCATAAATTTATGTTTCTCTCCATATATATAGCAATATATATATATATATATATAGGTATGTGCAGCTGTAACCTATGCACGCAGATGCAGTGCACACACAATTGTTGTTGTTGTTCTTGCTGTTGTTGTTGTTGTTGTTATGGGGCATTGTCTGCTTCTGCAGTCGCTACACTTCCGAGTCCACGTCACACTCGGCTCACTTTTAACACTTAGAACACACGCTAGTCGCATATGAGTCGCTATAGAAACCACTCCCCTCCCTCCCTCTCCCTCTCCCCCTCTCTCTCTCTCTCCCTCTCTCCCGTTTGCTCTCATAACAAATTTGAAATTTATTCAACATATTTGCGGCTAGTCCGCTGGCTGACTGGCTGACTGGCTGGCTTGCTGTTTGGTCCATTGTGTGGTTAGAGAAGCGCATCATTTGCTCGACGCCTTAATGTGCTTTAATATGTACTTATGCTTGGCCTGGGCTAGGCGAGGCTCGGCTTTTAGCCACATCTGGCTAGGGCTGGCCAACGGTTTTCAAAATAGTTGTTAAAACTAAATTACGACAGTGCAATCAACTCCGAGCCGAGCTCCACTCGACTGGCCAGCTACCATATTGACCATATTGTTGCTTGGTCTTAATTTTTTGGCTCTGGCTGGATTTCAGTTTGGTTTGGTTCGCCTGGGTTTGGTTCGGTGTTTGGTGTTTGGTGTTTGGTCAAATTACTTTCACCTTAAAAGATCTTGATCTATTCGCAGTGCGCCTGCCCAGTGACCTAAACTCAATGGTCTGATAAGCTTAATTTCGTTCAACTGCACAGCAAGGGCAGTCCACAGCCCAAAAAACAAAAAAACAAAAAACGAAAAAAAAGGGGCCATAACCAAAAGGCCAAAAAAAGAAATAAAAAGCAAAACCTTTTTCTTTTCTTGTTCGTTATTAGAAATGCTGGAAATGTGTGAAAAGCAGCTTGATAACGTTGTGGAAATGTAACCATATGTGGCACGAAGCAGAAGCAGAAGCAGAAACAGAAGCTAAAGGTCGAGCGCACGAGGTGTGTGTAATATGAATGAACAGTAAATGGAACTAGGGCCGAGGTGGCCAAGAGTTGATTGAGAAAAAAACTAGATTGAAGAAGTTTATCGTATATTATATATGATATGTATATCATGATATATGTAAACTGACCTACAGAAAGAATTTCTAATAAAATTACTTTTAAATTTTAATTTGGAATACAAAATTTAGACTAAGACGCAGCTAATGGGGTAGCTTTCAACTTTTAGAAATGCGTCTAGCCAATTTAGATTAACTTAAGTAAATCGTCTTTTGTCTAACAGTTACCTTCGACGCGTAGTCGAAAGAAAATTATATATATTTTGAGAGATTGAGAATAGAGTTTAGTTTCTATTTTCTAAGTATGCATCATAATAATTTTAAGCAAATCAATGAGGTCTTATTTAGGGAAGATTTATGAGTAATGTAGTGTAGTGTATATGTACAAATATATATATGAGTATAGCCACTTTTTTAACCTAACTTCCATAAGTTTGTAACTGAGCTAATGTTTGGAATTGGGTCGATTCTTGGCTCACATAAAGAGACGAAAAATTTGCTTGAATCAGCATCCGTTTGCTGGCAGAAAGCAGCAGACAAAGGTCGCGCGTTGTACAATAGATTTGCGAACAAAACCAAATTGATTCCTCAATCAAAACAGACAATACTAAATGCCACATCTGATCTATACAAATATCGTAAAATTTGCATAACTGAAATTATGTTGAGCTACAGATTATAATGGCAAATATTTGCTAAAGTCTTTGCCTAATGATAGCTTCACTGCCTCAAACGATCTCTTAACAATTTATGTCACCAGAGTCGTATTGTCGCCCAGAAAGCATGGAAATAAGAGAACTCCAACAAGTAATCAAAAGTTGATGCAAAGTGTTCTTAAGCTCTAGCCAGATATGGCCAACAGCAGTTCACAGAGCTAACTGTAACTTTCTTGTTATGTTTTTCTTCTTTTTTTTTTTTAGGTAGGTTGGGCAAAAGGAAATGCAAATTTGTACTCACAGCTCGTTCGCAGGTTCCGGCCAATGAGTAGAAATTAGCACCTCAAGTGGAGTTTGCGGAAAATGCTTGAACAATTGCTATTTAACGGTACGGCTCTTAGAGCTTGAATTTTCGCACTGCTTTAGCAGATTTTCTTTCGTTGAATATCAACTAAAATACTCTGCTTCATATTAGATATATATAGTAAAAACTTTTTGTTTAGCACACATGAATTACACTTTTGAAAAGCATCATTTCTTTTCAGCCATATTTTGAACACATTTTTCACATTTGTTTTCTATATTCGTTTTTCTTAAATATTTATTTTTTACATATTTTTCGTCACGCCAAAAGTAAACACTTTTTTCTTTTTCAACAATAGAAAGCTTTTTCTTTTTTTGGGTGCTTCTTCGTCTTGTTAGTTTTTAAGCCGCTGGCACGTCTATCAAGGTCGCCATCAACGAAGCGACTGCGGCTTGAGCCGAGACGCTGAGGAAGTCGGCGAAAATTCGCTGCTGCCGCTGCTGTTGCTGCTGCTTCGGCTTGGTGTCTTGGTCTTTGCTCTGCTCTCAAACGAGTTTTTCTTTTATATATATTTCTCATTTGTTTTCTATAGACTACCTGGCTTTACGCTCTTATATGTCGAAAGTATAAGTTTGTTTTGACAAATTGTATAAGAAGTGTTGTGATGTGTGCGAATGCCAGCTAATTAACGTACTTACACAAATCAAGTATACGCAGCGTGCGCCGCGCTGCTGCGATAAGCAGAAGTGGATGGATGCTGCAGCTGCTGCTGGAGTACCGTTTGATGTGTAAATAACATTGCGTGTCTGGACAGCTAACGGTTCTGCGTCTCTATCTCTCCCTGACTGGGCTGAGACTGCTGCACGTGCCACAAGTTGCACAAAGAGAAATGCCGCCTCTACGGCCGCCTTTGCGCTCTAATTTGATTGGCCACATCAGCCGGCGTCATTTGTCATTGGTTCAACATCATTTACAACAATTTACAAAGCCATTTTCAACATCTTAGTCACAGTCGAGTGTTTTTTTCTCACTCCGCCAAATTAACTAGAACAAGTGAAAACTTTGACAACTTCACGTTGCATTGCGTTGCATGCAGCAGCCGCAGCTGCAGTCGCAGCCTCCACTGAACGGGCACAAATATGAAAGATCCTCACTGCTATTTGACTCGCGGTGCTATCGCATTCGATGTTGAGTTATGAGCTTTGCCGTTGCTCAAATTACACGGACAATCTGTTTGACATAAGCGAGTTATAGCATATAAGGCGTTTGCAGTGCTTGCAGCGTCTGCAGCGTTTGCTGCGTTTGCTGCGTTGAGAGCCAAAATCGATTACACAAACTGGTTTCAATTAAAAACAGTTAAGTAGTCTACAACAAAACTGCAGAAATTACAAAAAAATATCGCCAAAGAATTGTCATGTGCGAATCGACGAAGTTTTCATACACTAGCGACAAATTGTAGATGATATCATTTATATGATATTTTATCTTGTGAGAATCAAGTGGAGTTTTCATAAGGTTTATGAAATAATTATATTAATAATTAACTTTTAATATCTGCAAATCTATAAATACCTATATATTTAAATAATCTATCAGAAGAAATACTTATAGATATCAATAATGATAAGCATTGCACAGAGATAGAGTAATCCAACAGAAATTAAAAATCTCATATAGATATTAAAATAAAAATAATTCATTAAACAATAAACTTTGTATATATAAAGGGAAAAAGAAAAAGATTTTGATTTATTTTGAGAGACTTCTTGAAAGAAAATCTATAGTCTTCTACCTATATAATGTGAATAAGCAAATATGCCGTTTGTTCCTCTCAGATTCTGAACTTTCACTTGGATTTCGATTGAAGCTTGGATTTGAAAAGAAAAATGCAAACAAAAACTGTTTTCCCAATAAGAAACTCTACCAAATCAAAGGCTTCTATGATTTACAGACTCAAAGTGATTAAAAAGAAAGAAAGCTTCTCTGTAATATGAGAAATTTGTTTGATCTTAAAGATTACGTTCTGCGTTGATCATTAATCAAGCCAGTCAAAACACACAAACCTTTATTGTTATAGATAATTAAAAGGAATGTAGGCATTGAGAGCCTGAAGAGCGAGCGCTCAGTCAGCCAAGTCTAGAGAAATTTATAAGACTCTCAGTTAGAGTATATTGCAATAGCTGCAAGTGTCTCGTGTCTCGTTTCAGTTTCCATTGCCATTCCCCATACCAAATGCAGCCTGGGCAATAATTATGCTTTAGTTGGCGACAGAGCAACAAATTCATGCTATAACTATTAACGGCTGCATTTACAGTTTGTTTATTTGTTATTTCTAAACAGTTTTTCTTTTGATTTTTCTTTTTTAGAAAGTTGTCTTTATTATCGGCGAGCTGAGCCCGTTACAGCTGGGCCATAATGCAAACAATTTTATCCCAGATCTCTCGGTTCTAAAGGCGTCTTCGATTTTTATGACCCAGTGCCAGCTTTTGGCTTTGATATGCATTTCCATTTCGTCGTCTTCTTCTTCTTTTTCTGCTGCTGCTGCTCTTATTCATTGCGAACATGCATTTATTTGATACGATTCGAAATCTAAATCGAAATGTAGTTGCCTCACGGTCAGCTTTAACTGCACTTCCATTCAGCCCAGACTTATCTCCAGATTTGGCATAAATTTGTTTTTTTTTGCTGCAGATCCCGGCCTGCTGTGGCTTCTGCTGCTGCTGCTGCTTGCTGCGTTACCTACACACAATTACCCCGCGTATCGGCAGGCTACATGTTCCATAAATCTTTAACTGTAAACTGCGGAAAATAAAAAAGAAAATACCATAAAAAAAAAACAAGTGGGAACGCATGAATGCAAGGAGACTGACTGCGTGATACTCGCTCAGGGAAAACTGTGATCCTTGACGAGGTATTAATTCAAAGAACTTTTAGAAAAGAAAGTAAAATACTGAAGTGGCCTATATAATACCGATACTGACCTATGATCTGGGAGACCAATAGAGCAGTTTTGATCAGAAAAGAATTTCGATAATTCTCTGTTGGGGATTGCATTGAAGGACGCGGAATAGATATTCTTGAAGAAAAGCAAATAGTGAAAATAAAATAGATTTCGTGTTACCCCTTGAATCTAATATATACATATGTATATTGTGGATTATGACTACAGCTAAGGCCGACTCCTTGATGCGGACTCAGACTAATTGCTAGCCGTAGTAAAAATGGTTTATCCTAGTGTTTAACTAGCGAATCTGATAAGAGTGTCAAAATGTGTGAAACATTACAATTTGCTCAATCGAGATCTCTTATTCTGCCTCTACCTACCCTCCTACATATACTCTTGCTCGCATAATTTGTGCGAGTATAAAACACAGGCAGCATCAGGAGCAGCGCAGCAGCAGCATCAGCGCTGTTTGTAGGCTAGTACAGCTTATGCAAACTTTGTACACACGTCTCGCATCGTCCAGGCGGCGGACAGGCACAGGCTGGACAGGCGGTCCAGTCGCGGTGCCCGTCTGATCCGTCGATGTCGTCGAGGCGCAAACCCGTTCGCCTCTACCCGCCTGCTCTCTGGCCCTGGCAGGCAGTCAGCCTTGTTATTGATTCACTTGTTGCAGTTGTTGTTGTTGTWGTTGCTGTTGCTGTTATTGCTCTTGTTACTGCGGCTAAACAAACTTGCAAGCTGCAACGTGCATTGCGAGATGCTCGCAACTACAGTTGCATTCATAAATAACGCTTGAAAAATGTTTGCATTGGTCCAGTATTTTCCTCGTTTTTTGCGGATTTTTTCCTCTTCTCTCTTCTTCTCTTTGTATGTGAGGCCGAAATCTTATTATCAATTGCTTCGATGTGCCGCCGCAATAAACATGAAAATGTGCTTTATATGAGCTGCGCATTGCGAGAATCGGCATGGGGTCCCTAACGGTACAAGACGAGCTACAAGTGAAGCTACAAGACAATTACGTATGATGGGGGAGTTGTCAGGCCAGTTAATGCGATCCCATATATTACATATAGTGGATCAGCTATGCAAAGCTTAAAGTATGTGATGCAATCACCGGAATGTGCTCTCAATTAATCAAAGTCTTCGAAATGTGGGTCATCCATCTATTATTTGTGATAACGTTTCGGGTGAACTTGAAATGAGATGACGATCATACGTCTGGTAGAATATGTGATGTCCACGAAAGATTTGTTCTACCGCATGTAGTATATACGTCTATGGTATTAAGCTAGTATAGAGTAGATATTCGAGTAGAAATAAATAAGTCGGAATACATATTAAGTACTTAAACCGAAATGAATGATGATGATGGAGCTTCATCACAGATCCCCTATATATATTATCTTATATGTATATCAATGCCAACCAAAAAGAGCTTCAGCATTAACTATCCCCACTTTTGTTCAGATTGATAATGATCAAGCCGTTCTAGGCACCTCCCTTCCACCTTCCTTCATATACATTCAAACGTGCATTAATGTCTTTCTCATATCATAAATGCCATAATGTCTTGCGTAAACCATATCCTGCGCAATTAAAAAACCAAGTCAATTGACATGCCCACCACAGCGAAAAGTCACACAAATAAAAAAGAGATAAAAATTTGAAGACCAGTGGGGACGCAATCAGAGGCAGAGCTTCGATAATAATTGCTGTAAAACCTGCTGTAACTCGCTCGATTGAAAATAAAATAAGACTTAAGTCAGTTATCGGGCTTAATTATCAGATCATCATAAAACTGGAGAACAGCGCGCAGACAAATGTGCGATAAACAGCTCAAGAGCCAGCACCCCATACGGCTGCGCACATAAAACTCACACATGGCTGCTGACCATAACGGATTGTGGATGCCACTGTGGCGTATGATGGGTGCAGCTGCTGCAACTGCTGCTGCTGCTGTCCGAGACTGGAGACTGGAGAAGGTCGCCAATTGTGCAGCACTTCCATTAGCCAGGGCATTGGTCAGGCAGGCAACCCACTGAGTGGCACTGCCCACTGCGGACTGCGGACTGCTGACTCCGACTCCGACTCTGACTCTGACTCCTTGTTGGTTGCATGCAGCATGTGGCATGCTGCCTGCTCGACTGCTACAATGTCGCTTGATTGACAGCCAACAAGCCAAATGCATTTCAATTAAACGC